CTAGAATGTTGCATCCGTTGAGAGATTCCTTGCTTTGTCGGTGTAAGGCGCCAGGAGGAGAAAACTGAAACTCCCCCTCAGAATGTGCAAGGATTGATTGCTCACAGCTTGTCATACCCGCCATGTGTGTGGAGCAATCTAAACATGTACCACACATGACGGTTTCCCTGAGCTCACCATGTAGAATTTCAGCATATTGATGAACACATAATGTTGATGAGTCAGGGGAGGCTTCAGCAGTTGATTGTTGATTGTTGTAAGATGATCGTTGACGCGAGGTTGATTGAATTATCTACGATTTTCAGACCTTTACATCGAAGTTTAGAAAAGTTTTGACCTCAGGGTTGACAATGAAAGAATTTGAACAGATCTGCCTAAGTTTTGGCCTGGACATCGGTGATTTACAATGTTTGTCGGAAAACTCACGTTTTGACCCTCAAAGACTGCGAGTGAGGGCGCGTGAGAATGAGTTCTGGGGTAAACCCCTAGAGTAAATAAAGATCTATGTGTTATCTTTCCAACAAAATTTTTTTTGCTCAAATCGGATCACCGAGCCAAAAGTTATGGCCAAAACAGTGCGGTGTCGCAGAAAATCTCTAATTTTGAGTTTTTGAGGAAAATCTTCGAGGTTGAGGTTCTCGATGTTGAATTTCGAGAGCAGGTGAATTTAAACAAAATTCTAAGGCAAAAACTCGAAATCCAAATCTGGAGATTTTAATTTCAAGTTTGCCTTGAAGAGTAATGACGAAATCCACCTGCAAAACAGACCTCAGAATAACGAAATCTTCAGAATTTCAAAATGTTTGAACATCGAAAACTTTGGAGTTTCGAAAACCTCATAATCTCGAAAACTTGCTGTTTGAAAAACATCAGAACATCGAAAACTCCTGAAACATTTATATAAGCAGGGAATCATTCAGAGATCCTTATAATGTAAAGCTTCGATGAACTGCAAAGGATGTCAAGATTCGAATTATGAGTTCCAAGAAACTGCAAACTTTGAAAGATTCAAAACATCGAGAAATTCCGAAAATTCTGAAAAATTTTTAGAATGTCGAAATCCAAACCATCGAGTTCCTAAAACTCGAAATAAATTCCAAACTCGCAATTCCAAAACTCTCAAATTTTTAAAAACTCGAGGTTTAAAACTCGAGTTCATGACCGCGAGTTTACAAACTTGAGTTCATGACCGCGAGTTTACAAACTCGAGTTCATGACCGCGAGTTTACAAACTCGAGTTCATGACCGCGAGTTTACAAACTCGAGTTCATGACCGCGAGTTTACAAACTCTCGTTCATGACCGCGAGTTTACAAACTCGAGTTCATGACCGCGAGTTTACAAACTCGAGTTCATGACCGCGAGTTTATAAACTCGAGTTCATGACCGCGAGTTTACAAACTCTCGTTCATGACCGCGAGTTTACAAACTCGAGTTCATGACCGCGAGTTTACAAACTCGAGTTCATGACCGCGAGTTTACAAACTCGAGTTCATGACCGCGAGTTTACAAACTCTCGTTCATGACCGCGAGTTTACAAACTCGAGTTCATGACCGCGAGTTTACAAACTCGAGTTCATGACCGCGAGTTTACAAACTCGAGTTCATGACCGCGAGTTTACAAACTCTCGTTCATGACCGCGAGTTTACAAACTCGAGTTCATGACCGCGAGTTTACAAACTCTCGTTCATGACCGCGAGTTTACAAACTCTCGGTTTTAAAAACTGTCGAATTTTGAGAATCTGAAAACTGTTCTGAATAGCCCTGAAGGTCGCGATCCCTCCTGTATCTGTTTCAAGTCAAAATCATTTCTGCAGGCATATAAAAGCATAAACTCGAGTTTCCAAGGAGAGTTTTTCGAAAATGAAAATTTGCAGAAAACGAAAAAGAAGATATGCTGTAGAATCGGTTTTGAGAGGCGATTCCAACAGTATAATTTTTACAGATTTTCGTTCACAAACAAGATTACAGGAGCAAAACTCTATATGAAGAAAAAGAGAAGAAAAGCAGAGCATTCTTCGTTAGATCCAAGAAAATCGCAGATACATTCAACCTGTTTCACGCCTCGGCTCTGATACCAAATGATAATCCCAGAATACTTAACAAACAACAAATACAGCAGTTATAGAAGAAGCAGATAGAAAGATATGTAGATATTATACGAATCTGGTATACCGTATGAAAACCGGCCGCTGCTCTCCCTGGAGAAGGAGAGCAGCGGCAAACCTAAACTCTCTCTATCTTTACGCCTCTGAACTCTAAGCCTCTATCAATCGTTAGGGTTCCCGTAAGTTAGCCTCCTTTTATAGGAGAGGTTAGCTAACTTACGGGTTACAAGGAAGCCCACGGGCTGATACACATTTGTGGCCCGTATTACACGATTAATTAATAACTACACAAATACAAAGATAACTAACTAGATTGAACACCATAAAATATTCCCAACAACAAGGTCAGCAAACGGGCTCTATATTAAATAGCAAAGTTGCCACAAGTTTTGGAGGTAAAACTGTTGCCCAAATGGAGGACATAAATGTAAATACGTGTGACTAGGAATCTATATGTTTATGGTTACCTCAAGGACGAATTAGTGATTATCATATGTGACCACCACTAAAAGGGCAATTACAAAGATGCATCTCAATATTTTAATAGTTTTTGTACACTGTTAAATAAATATTTTTATAGAAATTTCTGACAACCAACAAAGGAAATACTACACACTACACTGTCACTTCTTTTCATTGACGTTGAATATGTTCTTACATCATACGTAGTACTCCCTTTGTCCCTATATAAAAGCCCCTATTCGTTTTAGACACAATTTAAGAAAGTGAGATTCTTTGACACTGTTTGACACTTTTTAGACACTATTTGACACTATTTGGTACTGTTTTGACTATTTTGTTGGCCAAAATAGGGGACTTTTATTTAGGAACGGGCCGAAAAGGAAACTTGGACTTTTATTTAGGCACGAAGGTATACTTATTTTTCTTTTATTTGAAAGATTTGCGACGATCCATTTTATTTTGCCTATAAAATAGCATTTCATAATCAAAGTTAGGGCGTATACGTTATTTATATATATATATTTTCTATAAACAAAAATTAAAAATGTACAACATAACACTGAAATATAATTTTAATCAAGTTAAAATTTTACTCTAGATATATCTTGTGCATCACACGGATTATTTGTCTAGTTAGAGATGTAATGAAAGTGTGTTAGAAATGTCTACAGTGAAGCAGAAAGCACGGGATGTAAAATACACATATTATAAATGTTACTCCGTAACATATACGTAGTACTACATAAGAGCAATGATAGATTATAGTACTATTATTTTTTACCGTGCGCATGAGAGTAACCATAAATAATTAAAAACATTAAAAATTAAATAAGAGCAAACTTTACAAATTAGTGAAGACTTCATAGTAGATGACATTTTTGCAGTTTTTATATTTTATTCGTCGCATATCACTAAATTCAAGTAAAATGAACTTGTCACCCTCAAAAGTGCAACACACAACTCACCATACATAAAAACGGGACATCACAAAGAACACACTCAGAGTTTCTTACAATTTCTTTCCCCAACAGGAATTAAACATGGACACCCTCACACTTATATTTCTCTTGCCCTTGTTTTATCCTTGTTGCATCTCCACCCGTATGCTGCTACATAATGTAATTACTAAATAGTGTTGAATGTCTAAGTCTTGAGGAATGATCCTATCAAGCTGGTCTGACAGGATCCACCTTCCAGTTAAGGCCATTTGGTTCCCTTCCCCGGATAATTTTTTTAACCATGTTCTTCATGAAGATTATTGCCGCAAAATTCCAGTTTAAAATTCGATCAAGAAGCCAGATGAATAAATTATTGAAAAATACCGCGCTATTTATATATATTTAAAGGTCAATGTTTTAAAATAATTTATTTAATTGTCTTCCAAATCAAATTTAAGCTAAAATTTTGTAAAGCTAATCTACACTTCATGAAGAACATGCTCAAAAAATTCATAAAAAACATTGACCCGGGAGCCCGTCAAACGGGCATGTCCATACAAAGGGTCCTGTAAGGCTGGCCTAACATAATAGTTACTCTCCAACTCTTTAAGAAAAGCTAATTTATATGTTCATTTTTTAACTTGCAATAGGATGTTTTGCACAAGGTATGTTTACTAAATATTATGGAGTACCTAACATATTAGGAAATCTAATTTATATAATCGTACTTATGTAGCATTTTTTTGAAAGATACTTATGTAGCACATATAGTTTAATGAGATGCCCCATATTCACTTTCCATAAATATTTTCATATGTTCCTTCGGGGGACATATATTAAAAAAATCATTTTTAAATGACACACATGTACCATACGTTTTGAGGTCATATCATAAGTCAAAAGAACGTGCTCGATCGGTAAATTTCTTATCATGTTGGATTGTGTCATGAGTCTTGTACAATGTAGGTGAATTTTTCATTTTTCATACTACTATAATCCTCAAAATACAAACTTTTCCTTGAATTGATTCACAATTTCTATGATTTACTTATTAGAGCCTTTTATTTTCAAGTTTCAGGGACTTCTAGCATGACTCACACATCTCTATATAGTTTGATGATGTCTGCTGGTCTGCATTTTTTAAGAAGCATATATATTATTAACAGAGTTGGAGTATATCTTCAAAGATGAATAATTAAGGGAAAATTCTAAAAACTGAAAAATTAATGAGTTCCAAGTCTTTATCATAGAAGCTTTCATTAAGTGGGACAACGAAATCAAGGTAATGTTAGTTGTTAGTGTGCCAAGGCTGAGGATACTTTTCACATAGCAAAGTTATTAATCACATTTGTAAGCTCACTCAATCTTTATCGCCTAAGGAATTTTTTCAATAGCACATATATGATATATTTGAAAGAAACTCTTTCAAAAACATTCTTTAACATTTTACAGAAGTTCCCAGTGGAACTATATAACTATTACCAAATTCAATGGGCTAACATACAGGGTCCTTCGAACACTACATCAAAAAAATTGTGGATGTCTTCTTCTCCGAAGCGAAACTTATAGTCTTGATGGTCTCCAGCTAAGTACTTGCTAGCCTCTCATGGTTACCTTCAGATAATCTTAGATACTAGATTATGGCAAAAATGAGTTCAATTTTTAATGGTTTCCTGGGTGCTAGAGGAAACCAATGGGAACTCAAAGAATCAACTCAAGTGGAAGGAGAAGAAAAGAGCATTCATGAGACAATGCCAAACGAAGTAAAGAAGATTATAGGGTACACTTTCAGCTTCAGGATGTAGGGGCTTTATTGAAAGTAGATTCAATAAAGCTTATTCAGATGGTGAGGTTCCGGTGCAAAAAGACTTTAACACAAATTTAATATAACTTTAAATTAGTGGTATGACCTTAGGGTTACGCTGATAGTTTCTGAAATTCAGTGTGTGAAGGAACTTGCCGCTGCTGGCAGCACATCTCCAACTCAGTGTCACCGCCTGTTTGATTGTGAGTCAAGATCTTCACTTCAGCTACCAACTTTCTGCACAACAACATAAATGATAGGTGCATTTTTTTTATCATCAAATCCAACTAATATATTAAATCAAAATAATGTTCGTCACATGGCTGATAATACAATCAAGGAGTAAACAAAATGATAAAAAGTCTTATGTCTACCGTCCGCCCTCGAACCAGACTGAGAATCTATCACCTCTGTAGAAGCAATAACATTCGTTGATCCTGTAATGGGCATAACTGAGCCAATGACTGAAAAACCAGACTTCTCAGCATCTAACCTAAATTTAAGAATTTCTCTACTAGGAAAAAAGAACATGTCCAAAACAACATGTAATTCGACAGAAAAACACAAACTGAATAAAATGCAATTAAAATAGAGTTCACCCATCTTCTTCCAAACCCTAGATTTACTTGCACTCCATGGCCGCGGCTCGGGAGGGGGACGCGCCCGCCGCTCATCCGCCACACCCTCAACATCAGCTTCATCTAGATCCAGGTTTTCTTCCTCTACCCCGATTTCCATCTTCTTGTACAGTCCTCTACAATTTCACGATAAGATGCTCATTGACTCTTCCCTACCAAAATCCTCCCTGTGATCTCCTCCTGCAGCCAATAACAAAGACCTTCTCGGCACCGTACTCGTCTGAGCGAAGCACCGCCGGACAAAAAGCTAGGCGTCGCCTGAGTCGGCAACCCTAGAAACCCGAGCATAAAAGAGAAGACGTATCACATAAATGATAGGTGCCTTAAATACCTCAAAGTCAAAGACCGTTCTATTTATGAAAATGAAGTTTACCCATCCGATGCTAGGAGGAAGAAACATATAAAAAGAAACTGAAATATCTAAATAATAACAATGTCAAGAAGAAAAAGTTAACAAAGACCACCCCCTCAACCACACAATTATTCTTGAAATCCAAAACTTTCGTTGGCTAACCATTATTTTAGAGCTAAAGATAATCATTCCACACAAATATTTTTGAAATCCAAAACTTCCAGCGGAAAAGGTTACCCAAAAAGAACTCCCTACTCACCAATAATGAAAAAGATAAACCCATGAAAACCCAAACATATATATGAAAGTAAATGCAAAAAGCTTGTATATCAACTCAATTATCTACTGAGGCATTTCCCTGCCGTGGGATACCATTGATTGTATTAAAATATATGAAATCATGGGAAAAATAATTATAATACCCCAAACTTTGAAGGGTTGTGAGATAAACATCCCAAATTTACACATGCAATTTAAAGACCTCAAACTTTATATAAAACGTTATTTTAGCATCATACTCAAGTATTATTTCTTTCAAAAATGTAAAATTTAAATTACATATGCAAGTTTGGGGTGTTTACCTCACACCCCTTCAAAGTTTGGAGTATTATAATTTTTTCCCCAATCATGGGAAAAATGATTATATATTGAAACTGAATTATATTATTCCAGAATGCAGTAACGCCCAATCTGGAATATCATTAAGTTATATTGGTTTGAATATACTTTGAAAAATCATTGACCCATAGTTTCTAGAACGACAAGTTGGTCACCTCACACTCCTTTAAAGTTGCTCTTATTTCACTCTCGGGCTTGAACCACAAGTTTCTAGATTTATTTTAAGGTAATTTATGATATTATTTTAAACATTCTCTTCCAGGACTTGGACATTGTACCTTTACTGTAATTGTTGGGTGTGTTTCGGAAAATAAAGAAAATTAATTAAAATAAATTAATTAAATAAAATGACTAAAGAAAAACAGGAAATGAGATGAAGCAGAATTAGTCAAAGCTCGTGCTACGCACGATTTCCTTAAAACGTATTTGTTGCCTCCCACGGTGCTAGGAGCGTTGCAACAATCGTTTCCCAGGATACGATGACTACGAACTAATGTTTGAGCACACAAACAAGAGTTCCAGCGAACGAGAATCAAGAATGAACACAGAAGGAAGTTTGCTGAGTAGCTTTAGGTGTTTTTTAGCTCAAGAAATTCGTGAGGAATGTATTGTGCGTTGTTTCGTTGCAAACCACCTGGCAGCTATTTATAGGAGGATTTGTTGTGTGTTAAATGGGGTGTTAATGTGTGTAAGAGAGAGCCTTTCCCTTTAGGAATCTTAACTCCTTAAAAGAGGCTTTCGGACGACATTCGTGTCTAACTCCTTAAACTTAGACCGTATCTTTGAATGATAGGTTTTCGGACGACATTCGTGTCCGCAGGTCGCCCGCGCACACGAGTCGCGGTTTTTCTTCTCCGTTTCGGGATTTGATCGGCACCCCCCCTGCGCGTAAGAGAGAGCCTTTCCCTTTAGGAATCTTAACTCCTTAAAAGAGGCTTCCCTTTATAAGGGGGTGAAAATCCCTTGAGTTTTTCGGTGTGGGATAAAACACACTAGAAACTCACCATTTTCCCAGTTTTTCCATTTCAACGAGTGAACTTCGAGAATCAATTTCTCATTCACCCGTTATCCGTTTTGAGTGTACCATATATCGAATTGTAGCCCTTAACAAGGACAATCCGAAACCACTTTGACCCGACCCAAATCGGAAGTGGACCCCACTCAAATAATTGCCCCAAAAAGACCATTTAATGCAATTTTAACACATTTTTCCAACAGTAATTTGCAATTACCACTTACCAGTTGTACCTAATTAGCAACTTTGAAGTGTCCGGTTAAAGAAATTATGACAAATTAGAGAACATAAAAAATTTTAACCAGTGATTCATTCTGAAATATTGACTGTGTTTAAAAATCGAACATTAAGATTTTGTAGATCCATTGTAGAAATACCACAACATTTAAAACCTATTGTTTCATAGTTGGAGCTGCAAAGTACCTTTACAGTACTATATTGATCTTATGTAGAATGATTCTTTGATATTTATATATGCAAAGAAATCCTATTGATGATGAAATTGAAATCTATTAAGACAAAAGCCTATTGCTAGCTTTTGTTAGCATGGCTCTTAACCCCTTGCCAGACTACCAAGAATATGTTTAATATTATACACCATGTATTATGGTAATACATGATCAACTATAAATCAAATAATAAATAGTTTTAATACAACTATATAACAAATAAAACAGTTTGTAAATATAACAAATAAAATTATTGTCAAATAAAGTGAAAAGTTTGCCTAAGTAAGATATTTTGCTTATAGATCATATTACAGAAAACTATTTGTGTATTAAAATGGAACATTATAAGTCAAATGTTCAGCAACTACTTAATTTAAATGTGTAAATCTTTTTGTCTTTGTATTCGAATAAGAATCTAAAAGTCTCGAATATGATTTTTTCCTCAACTATGAAAAGGTAATTGGAAGTTGCAAACAACTTAAATCCCACATAAAAGCAACGAGTGTAGAACATGGCATTTTGCCTTGTAAGTGAGTAGGACTCACCACTCGAAAAGAGTGGCATCAAGTTCCCAAGTTAGGCCTCAACTCAGCATTCGATAGAATGATTGAATCCGCGAGCGATGCTTCGAACGGATAATCCAACCCTCAAAGAACTAAAGTGTGTCAGCCTTTTCGGGAAATGTGAATGCCAATTAAGTGATAAAATTGCTTGAAAGGCCCCTAAAAAGAGTTTAACTCGCTGCCCGAGGTTAGTAGTTCGAACCCGCAAGTGAAGACTTTGAACGGGTGACTCATCCCCCGAGTTCGGGACGCGGTGCACCTGGAAGGGGTAAGAGCACGCAAGAACTCGTATGAAGTCAAGAGTGTGCGGTATTAACATTTATATTGGAGCTTATTAATCGCCACACCCATATGACGTGACCCGGTGGCGCGAGTGTGTATGCTTGGCCAGTGTACGAGTGTGTGTGCTCGCCCGATGTACGTGAGTGATCGGATTTCAGAAGTCTTTTGTTCAATGTTAAAATTATGCACGCTTGTCAATAGTAAAAGCAATTAATCCACTTATTATTATTTTTAAATCAAATATTTCCGCATATTAATTTTATGGAGAGAGTTTAAAACACTTAGCTTTAGAACGAGAGAGGCCCGAATGCTTTGCCGACAATGCAACCCATCATCTTTGGTGGGAGTTAATTTTGGCCTTTTGCAATCTTGGCCCATCCATTTTAACATAGGGCAGATTCTTCATCCGAATGAGGCGGTCGTACAATTTGAGATTTATCTCATGAAATGGGGGTGGCAATCAGGCAATGAGAGACCACCCACGATCGTCGGCGTGCGGACTCCAGCTTGTATCGACAAAGTGAAGAGACGTAAAGTGCCCCGTCCATCTGTTTTCGTTGCTTGCTGCGAAAATTCTATGTTGCTGCATTGGTCAGGAGCGAAGCTCACGAGCGGCCATTAATGGGGAAGCTCTCAAGCTGACGACGATGAAACCTAGGCACAGAACCAACCTGCTACCCGAGTCAGCTGAAGAAAGCGCCTAGTAATTCTACATATGACTGGAGGAACAAGCCATGGGCGACTGTTATGTGAAGTAAGTGGCCGAACGGAAGCGAGATCTAGATGGCTGGTAGCGGAATGAGACCCGGAGCAGCGGTAAAGCAGCTTCGGGCGGCTACGCCTAGCCATGGCCTGGATGATGGCGATGACCCGGAGCAGCGGTATACCAGCTTCCAGATCAATTACATTTTTCTCCCTTTCTTCCGTAGAATTTCCAGAACAACTTTGTCCCAAAAAACTTTTTCAATTTCCTTTTAAAACAATGAATTTGATCTTCGGTTCATTTCTCTCTCCTCTGCACAAATCTAAATCACGCAATTTTTACTATTCTGATTATTCACTCAACATCAACTTAAAAGGGTTGAGTGAGACAAAGTTAATAGTTTAATACTATGTATATTACAGGGTTTCACGTTTGAGAAGGTCAAATGATTTGCTAAACCCGACATCGTACCATAACTATTTAAATGATATTGTATGATTTGAGTTTAGAACAAAAGTTGTCCACTACCGTCATATTTGTAAACGATGCGATACCATTTCATACCAATACCAAATCATGTCTCTTTTTTAAATTGTCTCAAAATAATAAAATGTTTAACCTCAAACAAATTTTAAAACCTCTATTCATAAATATTCACCAAGGTTTTGCCACAATCTAAAATGTGCACATTAGATAATATAAATTTATTAATCTATATATTATGACACATAAAAGAAATATGTTTAAATTGAAATGAAGGAGATGTTTTTCAAAACAAAAATAACACAAAGAACCCGTTTGGTAACACTAAAATTGGATGAATTGGCTGATTGTGTTGAAGTTTATGAAATTCTGGCTGAAGTGGCTGTATTGGTTGCTTCTGCCGATTCATGAAAAAAATATATTTAAAATATTTGTTATTAATAGATTAAATAATATGAAAAATAACTAAAATGATCGCCTACAGTAATTTCAGCGAATACAGACAGAAAAGTAACTCCAACCTTACTTTTTCTGCTTATTACAAACTTTAGCGCGTGAAATTAAAAGTTACGTATTTGATGAAAAAGCTGACTGATAAGCTCAGATGCTGGTACCAAACGGCTCAAAATGAAGGCAAGGGTCCCATTGAAAAATAACCTATCATATGGAGTATGGACTACAGATAATTTTTTTTAAAGTATCCCAAATCTTTGGTTACATGTGATCAGACCAAAACTAATACGGAGCTATCGGAGCACAGTTGTTATACCGTGGGATCATGCCACGGTGAACATCCTACTCCCACATATAAAATGGTGTCGTTTAGGTTTAATTTAACAAAATTCGCGTGAACAATATTTTTACTTTTGTCTAATTTTTTTCATGGTGTAAATCCTTTGTATTGATTTGTAACTCACGTTATTGTAAAATGTAAATCCAGTGTTTTCAAATGTAACTCATGCGCTGGAGTATGTGACTTGTTTTACTCATTTTTTTGAAAGAGTAACCTGTTTTACTCTCTCAACTTGTTATACCACTTGAAATATAGTTTTATAAAATTATTTTTATAAAAATCAATCTATATTTTTTATTTCTATAAAATGATTTTTTATAAAAATAATTTTTCTTTGAATAGAAAGAGCTTATTTTGTTGTGTAACTCGCATTATATTGTGGTGTAACTCGTATTATGAAAAATGAAAATCACGTGTAAGTGTGATGTAACTTGCTAAGAAAAGTTGACATTTAACTCACATTCATAGATATGTAATTTGAGATAAATGGAAATGTAAACTCTTTTAATAAAAATGTAACTTTTCTTAGATACCCATGGATGACCATCCCCTGCATAAATTTGAACAAAAAAATTGAACAAATCTGATATCCCAATCTACTTTTGAAGAAAACTAGCTCTGCCCAAAAGAAGAGAACTACAGAGCATTCTTCACGAAAAGAGAACTACAGACGAGAGCACTTGAGACGGGCGAGCAAAATAGAGGTGACCGGATTGGAGCTCTTCTTCGGCGCTGATGGTGGAAACATCGTCGGAGTTGCTGGTCAGTCACTGCCTTTCTGGTTGCACGCAGCACTCGGACGACGCACGGTAAAGAGTGTTTTGGTTTTTGGCTTTCTGTTCTAATTGCTCTTCCACGGTAAACTGAGAGGTGTGAGAGTTGTTCTTCGTTGAATGATTTCGCTCTGAATCGGAATTGAATAGGGTACGGCTTTGCGAATCAGAAGAAGAATCAGAAGAAGGCGAGAGACTTTTATTAATAGAAACGAGATCCTTTGGGATCGGCACACCATGCACATGGGAGCAGCACAAAAATGTTCGGGCTTGAGAAAGATTGGCGCTAGCATTATTTTGGGTCCGTAAAAAAACTTCATAACCACCTAAATTCCACACCTGTTCATCCCATTTATTAACATCTTGTTTATTCCAATCGAGCAGTCAATTGCTACCAATTCTTCTTGCTGCGATTTCAAAAGGCGAGGCTTAACGCGATGCCTAGAAATGCCATGCTTTCAAATGTTAACTGCAGAATTCAGGTCTGGTGGGGTTTCTTTCTCTTTTGCTTTCTACCAGTATCACTATTTGTAAATGAATAGCTGTGTAAATGTGATACCATGCAAATTTCCATTTTTTAAAGAATTATTGTCTTACATATCATATGAAAAAACCTGGGTTTCAATGGTGTCGTTGAGTTGCTATACTTTTTGGGCTTGCTGGGAATATTCATACATTGCAGCCACACATGCCCTGCTATTGTAACTACTCCTATTATAGGATGCAATTACTTTTCCACGTTAGGTTCGTACATCTGTGCTCGTTCATGTGTAATACACACAGGTTACCCATAAATTAGCCAACCCCACAGTGGCATATTAAACTTTCATGTGACTTGTAAATTAGATAACCAGATGATTAAAATCAGGGTTTCTATGTTAGTGAATGATTAAAAAGAAATTGTGCTGATATCTTGATAGTGATTGTAACTTGTAAGCTGCTTCTATATAGGCCTGTAATGAAGACAAATGATTTGGCATCAAGAGGCTTCTGTCAGAAAAGAGGCCTCCATTTAGTAAAAACAATTTAAAGAAATATATACAGATTGCATACTTTAGTTTGGTGTCCTTACTTAAATTGTTAGTTTGTTCAATTTTAGCAATTATGAGAGTGGTAACTAATTGGAGAGTGAAGATTCAAGATTTGTTGTTTTATTCCATTTGTTGTTTTGGAGTTGCTTAACTCATGCGTTTTTTTACTCTGTACAAACCTGAGGTGTAACATCTTCACACCCAGACATAACTGCAACGTTGCATATTGTCTTCTATGTGAGTTATGAAGTTTAAGTGTGTTTCCGAATTACATGAATTGTGCAGCACTTATATTCTAGTGAATTTGGTGTATGCGTTTGTCCTAGACAATATATGGGATAGCCTACTGTTTCTGCTTTCTAGTATCTTCAATTTTTTAATTTCCTCTTTCCTATGAAAAGGCATTGTTTTTTGGTACTTTGTAGACGAGTCATTGATTCTTGCACAAAATTTTATTGCATCCAAACTTAATTATTGAAATCAAATCAATTAACCTATGACTTCAACGTAAATTTAATGTACTCTTCCCCGATGTTAAGTACTCATGTGTACTTAATCATTTCAAATTCTGAGTCCGAAATCATATGACTTCAACGTAAATTTAATGTACTCTTCCCTGATGTTAAGTACTCATGTGTAGTTGATCAGTTCACATAATCAATTGTATCAAACTTAGACCAAAGCCACTCATCCTCACAAATTGAGAAGGAAAGCACACATGTAACTAGTCTAGTCATTGCAACAGATAGGAATTACACTCACCTTTTGATTACCTCATATTTCGGTAGATTAAGTAATTAGATATATTTTATGGGGAATGCAATAACTAGGTTGACAAGTCGGATTTTTTTGCCAGAATTTCAAATGGAACCATCGGTTGGGACAACTAAACATAGTTAGGGTACTCATTTGTTTCATTCAATAGTTGGGGTACCAAACTGCATTATTTTCAATAGGTGAGGTGCTGTTAATACCTTTTTCCTTAAAAGGCTCCTAGGGTTCTTTTTTTTATTTGATTAGAATTGCTGCAATTCTGTGGAACTTCATGTCATGTCTTGCCATGGGTATTCCATTTTTGTATTTCTAGATTTTTGTTTAGTCTTTGGGCTTTGATTGTTTGGGGAACTTGCAATCTGAAAATAAAATTGTAAAGAACTTTTTTGAAATTTCCAGCCTGTTTTCAGGGTGCATTGGAACTCAGTCTGCCCAGTGAGGAGTTTGTTTCAAAATTGCTCAAAAGAAAATGGGCACTAAGAAGCCCCACTTCCAAAGTTCACCAAATATTGATATCAAATCACTGTACAGAGCAGCGAGATGTGTTTGACAGTGCTTCTTTTGTCATTGATCAACGACCCTCTCTGGGCATGAGTTCAGTCGATGTAAACCACTATCAGGCATCCTTTTATGTGGTGAGGGATGATTTGTTACATCCCATGGTGAATGGTAACAAGGCCAGGAAGTTGGATGCATTGCTCCCTCTCCTAGTGGATAACTCAGTAACTGATGTGGTAAGTTCATCATTTTCATTTACCCCAGTGCCGCAAAGGCTCCCACCTACGGTGGGGTAAGGGGGGTCGGATGTACGCAGTCTTACCCCTGTACTAAAACACAAAGAGACTGTTTCCGGATGACCCATAGTGAAATCGCGTCCAAAATTCCATGGGCTGACTGCTTCTCCATAACAAAGAAGCGCAGACGGTTTAGTGAACCATTTTGGGTGCTCCATAACAAGAAGTAGTTAACTGATGTGGTAAGTTAAATAATTAAATATCTTATAAAAAATGTGTATTTGAGCTGGTTGCCACAAGTTTGCTGCATTAATTTGGGTGTGCTTGGAATTTCTTCCCAAGAACACTTCAAAAGTGGGATGCTGGTAACTTGACCACTTAAAAAGTCTGAGCAAAGGAATATTTATAATAAATTAATGTTAGTTGATAGCATGTGAATATGAAAATCAGTGGAGGGATATGCTTGGATCTCCGAAAGTGCTAGGGAAAGGAAATAGGCCTAGGAAATTTATTTTCTCGTGTTTAGTTTTTTATCCTTTTATGTATGTCATAGAATCAGAGCTGGGTGGATGAAATGGAAGAGTGCATTAGGATTCCTATGCGATCAATGTATGGCGACTATACTGAAAGGTAAATTTTATCGCACAACAATCGGGCCTGCATTAATGTATGGCGTAGAGTGTTGGGCGGTGAAGCAATGCCACATTCAAAAGATGAGTGTGGCAGATATGCGTATGTTGTGTTGGATGTGTGGACATATCAGAAAAGACCGCTTGAGGAATGAGATAATCAGACAAAAGGTGGGAGTATCACCTATAAAAGATAAGATGCATGAGTGTCGTCTGCGGTGGTTTGGGCATGTGCGTAGAAGACCGAGTGATGCACCTGTTAGACGACTTGAGGGGTGGGGGAAGAGACAGAGAAGAGAGGGATGGGAAGACCCAAATAGACTTGGATTAGAGGAATCAGAACTGATATGCGTCTTCTTGGGTTGAATGAGAGTATGGCTTTGGAGAGAGCAAAGTGGAGGGCGCACATCCGTGCGGACGATTGATGTCTTTTCTACCTTTCCTCTCTTTTCTCTTTTATCGTTTATCTTCTTTATCTTTTTATATTCGAATGTTCTTTTTATTTTCTAGCTTTTCATGCTCTTTTATCTTTCTATCTTTTATCTTTCTTATATTTTTATGTTATCGTTATCTTATATTTATTTATCTTTATTTTATCCGTTTTATCTTATTTTTTTTCGCTTCTTGTCCGTCTTCTCTGTTTGACATCGATATCATAGATCAATTCATGTTAGCCGACCTCGAATTCTTTTGGGATTAAGGCTTGGATGTTGTTGCTTTTAGTTTTTATCCTTTTATCTTTATATATACATATTATCCCTTTTATCTTATCATTTTCCATCATTTGCAATGGAGTCAAAGATTCATTATTTTTTGGCTTGAGATTATGATGGAATAAAGCAAAATGGCTCACTAAACTATCTGCGCTTCTTTGTTATGAAGCAGCAGTCAGTCCATGCAATTTTGGACGGGATTTTCACTATGGGTCATCCGGAAACAGTCTCTCTGTGCTTTAGTACAGGGGTAAGACTGCGTACATCCGACCCCCCTTACCCCACCGTAGGTGGGAGCCTTTGCGGCACTGGGGTAAATGAAAATGAAAATGATGATCCCTTTTATCTTATCATTTTTATCTTTATCCTTCATCTTATCCTTTTTGTCTTTTTTATCTTACCTTATCTTTTTATCCTTCTTATCTTTCTTTTCCTTTTGGCTCCGATATGATGTATCGATTCATGTTAGCCGACCCCAATATCTTTCCGGTCTAGGGCTTGGATGTTGTTGTTGTTGTGATTGGTTTTACTACAAAAAGCATTGGGAAATAAAATGTATTTTAACGTAATTTTGATTTCGTAGTCTTTACATGATAGAAATAAATAAATAAATTAAGTTGAACGAATATAAAAAATAATATTTTTCAGTTTGAACGAATGTTTAGTTTTCTCTCACATTTTCTTTGCTTAGCATACTCTAGAATGAGAGGATAACAGTACTAACCAACTTTCCACTGCAACATTTTTAGGTTACATGTGGAGGTTGTCAAAGTGCACATGCTGCTGCTGTTGGTATGTGATACAGTAGTCGGTATATGGCATTGAAACTAGCTTTGTTTGTCATTTTAGTTGGGTCTTTGTTTGCACATGCAACTTCCCATTTCTTGTTTTAATTTCATGACCCCCTCTAGCTCTTGTGGTTGTCTCATCCAATGCTCTGAAATTTACTTTCCACCCTACTCCACATAGTTTATGTTTCCAATCACCCTAATCTCCTCAACCAGGCCACTGTCAATTCCTTGACAAAAGATGATCATGCAGAATACACGTGCCCATTTTAATATTTTTTTTTCTTTATGCAGCTAATTCGAAACAAAATTAGGACCCCAAACCCATACACTAAAATTGAACTAGGGTACTAATGACCATTATTCTCCATATCCAGATTGACATAGGGCCTAAGCTTAGACATAACTCATTATATACACCTTCTTTGCAATCAAGGCTTTGGATTTGTTTTTTTTAACATATATTCAAGTAGGGGTATTGCACTGAGTGAGCTCTTGTGGGGTTAGACGAGACAACTGCTAAAATTGGAGGGGATGTGGTGAAACAAAAATGGTGGGGGGGTCTAACTGCATAAAGTGAACTATGGTGGATTTGATAATTGAGACAACGACAATAGTCAGAGAGGGTCTCATTCAATACTCCCCTTTCATGTAATACAGCTGTTTCATGTGCTGAGAGGGGACTGAAGTCGCATTTACTTCTTCGTGGTGAAGAGCCAGAAACTCTTACGGGCTACAATTTAATTTCCACAATGTACGGCAATGTTAATTATGTTCCCAGATCATTGTATGCCAGAAGAGAAGAAATGCTCGCGTTACATGCCAATAAGACGGCTGGCGATGAAGGACTAATAGTCTCGCTTAGTGAAATTCTGGAGGCTTCATTGTCTGACCAAGGATTTGACGAACAGTCTTTCCAACTGACAGCTCATATACATGCAGAAAGTGAAAAGAAGGTGGTGATTGTTAATGAAGGTGCTGGGGATGCTGTAGGATTATTAGGTAACTTATCTGTTCTCACTGTTTTTTTACTTACAAGGTTTCAATGCCTTTGACCAATTTCCAACCAATGGTCCCAATTGAAGCACATGTAGGCTCTGCTCTCTTCATGTTTTCTTATTACCGTTCTTATGAAAATGACCATACCGGACCAGAAGCATTCATAATAGATCAGACCAAAAACATCCTGCCTAGATCAGTGGCGTATCCAGGAATTGTTGTGAGTGGGGGCAAGTTCATACTACTTCCTCCGTCCCGTAAAATTCTTCTCACCTATCTTTTTGTCCGAAAAAATTCTTTTCATTTTCCTTTTTGGAAAGTTTTGTGTGGTTAACATTGATTTACCTTTTTCTTACTCGAGTACAATCATACATTTCCACTTTGTTCTCACTTTCTTAAACTCCGATCCAAGTCAAACCGGGAATAATTTTATAAGACGGAGGGGGTATATATTATTTCATGCATGTCCATAGTCACATAGTTCGCGGAACGCTTCGGTACAGGAACGAGGATTGGGAACGCGGTTCGCTAGATCTAGCGTATTCGATTCGGAGGGGGTAGGTTCATTCCGGTACATGATCGGTACGATGTACCATATGTTCGGTACGGTGTACCTAACATTTTGGTACTATAATAAAACTGAATTACAGAATAGAGATTTCAACATTGAACAAAAACAGATTTCATAATATTAAACAAAAGCAAAAACATTAATAATCAAGAAGCACTGGCTGGGGACTGTGGTGTCTAAAATCACAAACAAGAGTGGAGTGAATAAAGTCAACTGCAGAGGGAAGACTGCTAAGAGTAGTTGGCGTATAAAGCAGATCATTTTGCCTCAATTTATAACTGTTATTAGAGGGTAAAATTGATGAGTAGGATCAGAAAACTAAGAGTCTAGGAGCGTGGTTCGAAAATCAAAGTTCATACGCGGTTTACACATGGAAACGCAACATAAACTAAGAGTTGCAGACCTAGGAAATGATGATTCAAATCTGCGCGACGACTGGAAACAGCGTTTTCAAGCTGCTCGACGACTGGAAACGGAGAATACAATCGCTGCAAACATTGTATGGGATCGATTTGAAGATCGATTGAGATCGACTATGAACAACGACTGGGAACGACTCGAATAACGTACCGCATAGCGTTCCGACTAGCGACCGGATCGTTTTCATACCGCAATTGGGTATGGAACAATCGGTACGCAGATCGCGCCTCCTGTAGCGATTTATGCATCTATGTGCATGTCACAAACAGCTAAACACTTATAAGAAAAATAGTACAAACTTTAAATATGAAATCATGCTTAATAAATTTGACACAAATTTTTAATTTTTTGATGTTATGTTAATAGATAAATCATTTGAATAAGGACATGTAGTGTATGTATTTAGAATTAATGTAAACTGTGAATACAAAATTATATCTAAAAATGAATTTATATTGTGTAAAATGTAATGAAGTATAGATTAACTCTAAAAATGTGTGTGTATGCTAAGTCACTTTAAATGTGATTAAAACTTTAAAAAGGGAAACAAGGAAGGTAAAAATTAAAGTTTGAAATAAAAGGTGGAGGAAGGTTTCGATCCCCCAACCTCACGGAAGACTCCAAGCGCATGTGCCTACCTTTCCACCACACTACATCGTTTTTTAGTTGCAATTGAGTAATTATAGCATAAAATATGTATACTCAACACACAAATATATGTAAATTTTAATTTTTAAATATATATATGAGGGGGTTGGGTGGGGGTTGAGTGGGGGCAGCTGCCCCCCTGCCCCCACCCTGGATACACCACTGGCCTAGACTAGGTCAGATGTTATATTTCAGATAAGTCCAGAAACCTTCATGCAAGACCATGCCTGAAAATTTCGAACCAGATCATAAAGATCAATACCAAATCAGACATTAAAAAGACCCAGGTTAATTTTTCAGGCAAAGAGAACTTGGCCATAGTATAAATGAACCCCCCAGTCCCCAAATGTTAGTGTATACAGTGTTTTGGCAATTGGTCTCGTTCACTTGCTTGGTAATGCAATAGAAGATATCATCTTTTCAGGTCCCTCTACACATTATTAACAAACCATGTCACTTCTATCAGGTGCAATGCGCCTTGTGGACTACTTGTCTCAGGAACATTTATTTGGAAGAAATCAGCCGCTAAGAATTATAGTAGATGCTGGCACGGGAACTACTGCCATTGGTTTAGCACTTGGAGTTGTTTTCCTACGGTGAGTTGCTTCAGAATATTATGCACATGTGTGTGTATATCTTCTTGCATAATCTTAATCCTTATAAATACTGGATTAGTGGATTGAGTCAAATTTTGACCTTTCAAATACAGTTCAAAAATTTGCATCTCTTTTTATTTAGCTGTTGATTTTATATTTCAGGCTCCCTTGGGAAGTAACTGCAGTCATGCTGGCTGACACTATTGAGGGATATAGAAAAAAGGAGGAAAGTCTAATATCTGAATTTTGTTTGACTTTTAATTTTCCTAACCCTGACCAACTCTTGAGGAAAGGACGTGATGGAATCGTTCACTGGGTAGAACGTCTCGCTCCAAGAAAGTAATTTGTACTGCCCTTTAACGCCTTGTTTCTATTAAATCCTTTCCAGCAAAAGTACTTGCATGATATTTGCTAGTCAGTGTTGGACAGATTTGGCAATGTGTTGAGAGGTGAAGTGAAGAAATGCCAAACAATCGCTCAAGAGACAGGTATCCTGGTTGATCCTGTATACACTCTAGCTGCCTGGGAATCTGCTATGCAATTTAGTCGGGATGAAAGTTCAAAGGCAGCTGTGATGCTTCACACAGGAGGAACACTTGGTATGTTTGGATTAGCTCAGAGGTACAAATCCTACTTTCAAACGTTGAAAGAGTGAATGAATCTCTCTGTCCCACTGATAATGACATTGAAGAAGTTGCTCTCTGTCATTTTCATTTCTGTGGGGAAACCTCTACCAGTTATGCTCTTTTGGTGGCTTTCTTGTGATCATTATTATAGACAAACAGAAGCTGCTCTAATCTCTGATGAGGGATGACTGTAATTTATCAACAAATATTATCTACAAAACCTGCAGTCCTACATAGGCATGGACTCGGGCCGGGCCTGACCTGACCGGGTTTTTTTCTGGATTCTTGAGGCCCAGAACCGGCCCGGGTAGCTACCGGGTCCGGTTCGGACCGGGCCTCAGGCCGGCTACCTTTTTTTTTTTAATTTTCTAATTACTTCCTACCCCCCACCCCAAACCCCTCCAAAACATCCAGCCCAACCCATTTACATTCCAAAGATTTTGAAAAACAAAAACAAAAAATTTGGCCCGGGCCGGTTCATGTTTTTGAGACCCGGAGCCCGCCCTGAAACAGTACCAGGCTGGGTGGCCCGAACCGGGCACAGACCCGGTTACAGGCCGGTTGACGCGGCTCGAGTCCATCCCTAGTCCTACATGGGATTATGTTGTCAGAACCTGACTAGGAATTGAACTAGCAGAGTGACCCGGTAAGGTTAACTCAGCCAAGGGATGTCAATTGACCAAAAAAGAAAAATAACTTGCTCTTTTTTATTATTCATTTTTTTCATTTGTTGATTATATGTTTCATTTTCATTTTTTGCAACCTTTCCCATAAAATAGAAAAAGTAGGATAATTTTTTTGTTGTTTCACCCAACCATTTACATAATTATGTAAATCTACTAATAAAATGATGTTAATGGAATTTGGCTTACGTGTAAATTATCAAAAAAATCGGTAGCTAGTACATGATGGATAATTTGATAATATTGTGCTCCTCAAAAATTGATATTGTGGCTAGAAACTACTAATTACGTTAAAAAAAAGATTATGAGCTTGTTTGGTGATCCTATTTTTCAGCTCATCAGCTAATTTTGTCACCAGATACGTAACTTTTGATTTCACACGTTGAATTATGTAATAATAAGAAAAAATAAGATTAGAGTTACTTTTTATTTATATTGCTTAAAGTTATTGTAGAGGATCATTTTAACTATTTTCATATAATTTTTCTTTATTTAGTTAATGAAATACATTTTAAATATAATTTTTTTCATAAATCATCAGAACCAGTCAATCCAGCTGTTAGGAATCGATCTGTCTCTGGCTCGGCCATGTAGTTTTCTCTTTTCTAAAATCTTATCTACACATGTACACCATCTAATAATTCATAATAAATGTAACATTTTCTATAGAACCGAACCGGCCCGTAAGGGTACCGAATTGAATATCGGGTATTTAAAGGTACTATAGTTTTTTTTATCTCGGATCGAAACCGTAGAGTAAAGCGGGTACCACGACACTTTAAATGCATTTTCCAAGGTTGATAAAACTTATTGAACGCTGATTTGCTTTACCCATAGAGATTTGAGTAAATGAACTTTTTAGAGCAACTGACGTGCACTTGTCGTGAGGTGCACTCAAAATAATTAATCAATACAACACTAATACGTAGTATAGTGTAGTAAGGTTCGTATCCACACGGAAAAAAATACTTTTCTTTTATATAAATAATAACAAGGGGGGTTTTAAGTTTGATTTGATTGAATTTAATCAATACTAAGATGAACAACCTATATGAGTTTGATTAATAGAGATGAGAACTTGGTTTTGCTTTTATCCACTTAATGAAATGTCCATCGATCCCGATTATATCTTTAACTATCTTCCTCTCGAATACTCAATCGAGGAGTATATCCAGTTCATCGAGGGTAGTTATTAATAACGAGACGCGTTCATTAATAAAACTTACTACCGAGTTAATATAGAACAAGCGTCGTATATTGGCCCGATAGTAGCAATAAACTTAAGATGAAAACGATTGAGATTGATAACCTCAACACAAGCGGTTTATTGGTTTGATCAATATAATTAATTCCCCTTAGATTATTAACCATGAGACGCATGCATTAATAATCTAAGTTTTACTACCGTTGAAAGAACCGAATTAATAACAAGCGTATTAATCGATTGATTCTAGTAATAATTAATATATGAAACAAAACTAGTTGATCCTTTAAGTAATGCTCAAAATATTAATATGGAATATGAATAGGAAATAATTAATATTCAAGGAAGAAGATTAAAGAAAATAACTCACAACTTACAAATTCATTAAGCTTCAAAGTAGCAAAACCAAGATGGAAGAGTTTAGCTCCTCATTTGGAGACTAAACATGAAGAAAATATAAAGAAAGAGCTTGTCTAAACTGAGCTAAGAAGTATATGTTAATTGGTGCTTTTTGTGAGAAGGAAAGGGGGGTATTTATAGGCTTTTTAGGCTTGCAGGGTCGTGTACCCGATCGGGCTGTAAGGGCACTCGATCGGGTACTTGATTGCTTCGCGGAAATATAAAAAAAACTAGGTTATACCCGATCGGGTATGTCGGCCACCTGATCGGGTATGAACAGTCGATCGTGCCAAAATCTCCCATGCACGTCGCCTTGTCCCGGATCCAATCCGATTTGATTTTTCAACAAGGTACCCGATCGGGTATAGGTCATACCCGACCGGGTACAACACCAAAAATCAGAATCTTGAGATTTGTTGCACCTTCCTTCCATTTGTGATGTTCACCAATGGTCCCTAGAGTGATCTTGGACCTGTTTGAGCTCAGTATAAACCTAATCTAAACAAATTACAAACATTTTACAACTAAAACTATTACACCAAAAGTGTGTAATTTCCAAGGTAATAATCAATCTAAACTAATAGAAAACCTAAAACGTAAGCACGGAAATTACATGAATGTCAGCAACCGCAATGTTACCATGTCTAGTGAAAGTAAAGTGTGCCATGTAATCAATTGATGCACTAAATGCTAAATTTCAGTTCCAATGCACGTAATCTTGTGCTGATTTGGCAAAAAAAAGTTGAACGGTGTGAATATAATAGTGTGAGTGTAGAAAGTCTCTTGCACTTGCTGATTTGGACAATTTCAACCGTAAAAATTCATTCTGCCTCTTCCAGCCCTATTAAATTCTTCCTTCCCCTACTACTCTTCCAATAACCACCACAACAATGGCCGATCGAGAACCATTACTCCACGCCTCCACCTCCGCCATATCATAACAATTGCTCAAAAAATTAAGCTTGACCATCATCGAAACGTTGTTTTCCCTCTAGAGGCTCGCCCTCTCCGCCCACTACAACCTCGATCTCCTGTTTTGCGGAGGCGTAGGTTTCCGTCAAGGGCATGCTCGTATAGCACCCCTATCTTTTTTTCTGGATGAGTCATATAGCACCCCTATCTTGATTGGAATGGAAGAATTCAATAGACTTGGGAGCAGGCCTGATTGATGCGGATTACAGAGGACTTGTTGGGGTTCTATTGTTCAACCATTCCAAAATTGAAAAATAGAGGATTTATACTGTATGGAAGAATTATACTATTCCGGTTGGGATTATACTGTTCAGGTTGCACAAAGTTAAAGAAAAGCGGTATGGAAGATCTGACCGGCGACTGATGTACTCCAAAGAAAAGTTTCCTAAAGAAATAATACTTCATAATACGTATAAATGTATGATGAATTTCACTTGGAGACTTTATGCATTGGAGGCCTTTTTCATATTTTAATGTCTAGTCCCATACTACACGTAGAAAGCCTTTTACGTATTTGACATTTGGCATGTTTTTTCTAGACTACACTATCCTGCAATGCGGATGCTCTTAATGCTTATTGGTTGCTCATCCGTGCTTGCCTTACTACCCCAATCAGAGTTTTTACCTTTTCGTTTTGAAAAAATTCCACTTTTGGTCCCATGATTATGATGTTACTTTCACATTACTCCCTTGACTTTCAATTTAACCAAGTTTGGTCCGTGACTTTTCCTCATCACCACCCGTCGTCCTTTCGACCACAACTCCGACACATTTTATTCGGAAACTCATTTATGTAGAAATATTGAGTGCATTTTAGTAAATGTATGTTGTTAAAACGGCCACCTACTAAATTACCTCAAAACCGAACTCTTCTCCCTCTCAAAAACACTGCCGTCAGCTTGAAAAATCCCCAAAATCGTTCGAACAACGAGGAATCGTGCGGACCGTTGGCGTGAAGGAGAAGGAACAAGTGTTGAACGACGTTTGCCAACAAATCCTGGTGATAAAGGTAAGAGGCTGAATTGTTTTATACTGAGTGGAAGAAAGAAATGGAATAGAAGGCTAAACTAAGGCGTATATAATTGGTGTTTTCGCATGTTAGGGGTTTTATGTTGGTGTTCTCTTTTCCCTTTTCCCCTTTATGTGTTCACATGGTAGGGTAGGCATGTGCTTTTTTGGGTTTGTACACCAATAATGAATCTGATGGGTTTATATACTCTCTCATTTGGGTTTGTACCAATTAAGCGCTCGGCCCAACCCATTAGGGAATTTGTTCAACAGTTTTGGACAAAGCATCCTAGCTATTTTGATAATAAAAACCAACTTCTCTTTTGGAGATCTCGATCATCCACACACGAAGGGCTCACATGATTCTAAGCTCAAAGAAGTAGTGACGTGACACTTGGACTACGGGAAATTATAAAAAAGAAAAAAGAAAACAAATATGATAAAATAAAAATGATAAATTCTTGAGCATCAGTTATCTTCAAATGGCCCAACCAAGGCTCGACCTCGAGTTGCATAGAAAATACATTTGTGACCTTGATTTGTGCCTCGTGACCTACAACTCATGTTACAAAACCATCACCCCGACAAGTGAGAGTAGTCCAAGTGGATACAATCCACACTTAAGATCACTTAAGATCCTCCCATATGAGAGGTATTGGATTCAAGTCATCAAGAATGTGAATTTGAGATGCTTTTCTCAAATGATGTTTCTCTAGCCGTTCAGGGCTAGCTTCAATGGCCACACAATTAGTAGATCATATAGTCTCAAGTAGTAGTGTGTGAATTAGCTGCATGACGAGAGTCTGATGGTGTTTGACCAATAACTGGCGGATCATGTAGGAGATGTGTTGGGAATTGAGGACATGTGATGGCTATAAGTTAAGAGCGTTTTTGTGCGCGATGATGTATAAATGAGCGTTTAGAACCTAGTGAATTGTTCAAGCGACTCAAATTTACTTCTCCTAATGGTTTGGGGTGAGTTCTTGAGAGTTCATGATTAATCTGAAGAAAGCGGGATCTCCTCGTGTACGTTAACAAAAAATCTAGCCCATCATCCCCATGTTGGCAAAGCAAGTAATATCCAACCGCGCTTGGGCTATGGGTCCTAAAAGCCCCACCTACTAATATACCGATTGTTATTCCATACTAGTGCACAAAATGGAAGAGGTTAGGGAGCCGAGCTGCTGCCATGTGATTAACATGATCACAACCATTAATGTGAGAAACAAATACATTGACTAATAAGATGAGACATTTATAACCCGTTTACTAACAAAGATATTTCCCAGTTTTCTTTTTCTGTTTTCTGTTCTCCAATTTTATGTTTTCATTTTCTAGGTTTTCTATCTCTAATTTTCTGTTTTCATGTTTTAGTTTTCCATTTTTTCAAATTTGAAAACATGTCCATCAAATGTTTTCACCCGGTTATGTGACCGACCGGAAGACCGAAACTACTGTCCCATTTCGGAATCGAAGCTACTACAACCCAAGTACGATCCCGGGTCACAAGTATAGGAAAGTCGGGACTGAAACCGACTGGTCCAGTCGATCTCAACGGTTAGTCGGGTCATTGATCGGACCAGACATGGACCGCCGGGTCGTGAACCAGACCCGACTGGTCAGGGGCTGCGGGGTCGTGGACCAGACTAGACAGGGACCACGGAGTCATGGACTAAACCGGACAGGGACTGCCGGATCGTCAATCGGACCGGACAGGGACTGTAAGGTCATCGACCGAACAAGGACCGTCGGACCAATGACCGGACGGCCGAGTCAATGACCGAACTGCAATTGACACCGAAGCGGAACCGGATCCACCACTAGGCGTAAGCATGGAAATTCATTGGAAAACTAGTAAAAGTCACTTCTCTAATTCATTAAGGAAAAAAGAGACATATATCATTTATTTTGTTTTGAAAAACGATTTAGTAAACACATTTTTCTGTTTCCTCTCCAGTTTTCCGGCAACATTTTTTTTGTAAACACGTTTTTTGTTTTTGATTTTCCAGTTTTTCAGTTTTCTGGAAAACTGAAAAATATCTCTGTTAGTAAACCCGACCGAGTAGTCGCACTACCCGCATGACCACATCCAACCGGGGCACATCGCCGGTCTCCATCCGCTTCCCTCCCGACAATTTCAAGCACTCTTTGACTCTCTTTTCAAAGTCCTTTTTATCTTTCCCTCGCGTTATATATATATATATACTTTGCCAAAGTTGACCGACACGGAGAATAATAAAGTAAAAACTGTGTGGTTGAGATTTGTGCAGAGGAGAGAGAAAAAACAGAAACCACAAAATAATTGATTAAAAGGGAAAGTGGCAAAGTTTTTTGGGACGTCCCAAAAAGGAAAGATGACAAAGTTTTAAGGGACGGAGGGAGTATATATGTCAAGAAACCCGCTTTTACCGACCCGTCCACGTGGCACGGCTCACCCACCGGTTCAGTGGACTTCTCGCAACGTCGAAGGCAGTGAACCGCCCACGTCGCCACGATCCGAGCACTTCACCGGATCATTCAATCGGTAGGAGCGACGGGCGGCGCTGCGATGATTCATGATAACTTGACGGATCGCATGACCATAGTGCCGGCGACGCATCATTCAAATTTCTGCCTTATCAACTTTCGATGGTAGGATAGTGGCCTACCATCTTTCGGGTCCCGACAGGTATGCTCACACTCGAACCCTTCTCAAAAGATCAAGGTCGGTCGACGGTGCACCCCCAGAGGGGGATCCCACCAATTAGCTTGGTTGAATTTCTTTACTTTGACATTCATCATGGTCGCACCCAAAAGCACAACCACAACGAGATTGCATTGGTATTTTGGCACAAGTTCTCAAGTCAAACTGTTTGGCAGGTTTCGACAATGATCCTTAGGAATGCCGTCCCCCGGATCGTGGGAAGCAGCGTGCGCCCTTGGCGTGCTTCGGCACCTGCGCGCTCCGGTTGCTGACACCTGCCACGTGGTGTGCCCCGGTTTAGTAAACAGACCTATGACTCAATAGAGAGTTAATAGAGAGATTAAACTTACCCCTTATGCAAAGAAAGTATTAGTAAAAATCTGATCTAAACACAAATTCAAACGTACAGGGCAATGAAGTAACTTAGGGAAAGCATTAAGTAGGCTCACATTAATAGTAAAATTTGGTTTCAAAAGAAGGCAGTACCCTTTCGTTGTCTTTAGCATTCTCGTACCCCTCTCAGGCTTCCCTCAACAAAAGAATCGAAAAGGTAACCCCATTCATTGTCTTCACTCTTTAGCATTCTCGTACACCCACCAAGACTTCTAGAGAGAGAAATATAAATGCCTGTCCTACTCTGACGCTCCGGCGAATCAAACCACCTCGTTCTCTGTTCCCCACCGGTTTCACGGCCCAAAATGGACGACCCCGGCATTATCCGATTCCCGGGGACCCTCGATCCTTGCGCTCAAGAATTCTTCCCGACGAATAACCCATTCTCTTCTCTGTTTCCGCCGCCCTGCTTCCCTCATTTCCCTTTAAATCGCCCGCCGCCGCCGTACTACGATGGCTCTGTTCCTGCTCCCCCGCCGTTGCAGAGCCCGGACCTTCCCCTGCCGACCCCGTCCCCGACTCGGGCGCTTCTAATCAGCATGGTCTCCCCTGACGTCAGCGAGTCGATGGTACGGAGGGAGATGGAGGTGTTCGGCGACGTGAGGGCCGTCCAGATGGAGAGAGTGAGACAGGGGATTGTGACCGTCTATTTCTACGACCTCCGCCACGCCATGGCTGCAGTGGCCGAGATTCAAGAACAGCACATGCAGCAGCAGTACCGGCTGCGTCTCCACTACGAGTCAGTCATGGCGGCTGCCCATAGTTTCTCTCCGTCTCTGCCTCCACCGCCGGCGCCTCTCCCGGCCCGCGGACTCATCGCCGGGGCGGCGGTGTGGGCTCAGTTCACCGTCCCGGACGTACATGCCGTCGCAGACGGGAGTAATCAAGGGTCACTCATCATATTAAACTTGGATACCCACGTTTCCCCTTCTCACATCAGAGATATTTTCGAATCATTTGGTACGTCGACAATGCAATAAAAATTCTTGATTATTCTTTTTTTTTTTTTTTATGACCTCCATTAATGAATGATTATATATAGAACTGTTATTTCTTGATTGAAGGGGCGGTGAAGGAATTGAGAGAGTCGCCGGTGAAAAGGAACAAAAGGTTCGTGGAATTCTATGATGTAAGGGATGCGGCAAGAGCATTGTCGGAGATGAATCACAAAGAAATAAATTCCAAGAAAATCTTGATTCAATACAGTAGACCCGGCGGGCCCGCCAAATCCACCCCCAGAATTCTCCCACCGCCGGTGGCGGCGGCGTCATTTCCGCCGCATAGGGCGGCGTCAATGCCGCATCCCAGATGTTATGGCGGCGAGAAACTTATGAGCAACCCGAAGGGAAAAGAAGGGTCAATTCAAGAATCAATGGCTTCTTTGTGTTTAACGAGTGGTAATAGCAACTGGGATGGATCATCTTCTTCTTCGTCTTCGTCGAAGCAAAATAGGAGGGCGAATAATAGGCGATCTTGGAAAGGGGGAAATAACAATAAGAATCACAAGGATCATGATGATCCTCGGTTCTTGATAAACGAGGACGCCATTTCTGAAGCTGACTCTGGAGATTCAAGAACCACTGTAATGATCAAGAACATACCCAACAAATACAGGTTTAGTACATTTCCTGGATCATCTAAGTAATCATAATAGACCAATAGTGCCTTATTATATTCTACCTTAAATTAGATACTCCGTACGATCTAATTTAGGTTTAGTAGTACCATCTTTGTTTTTTTAATTGTTAGTCTACATGCACTAATCTCATACTTTATTTTAATTAGTTTTTTACAGAGTATTTAGTAATAAATTTTACTGTGAAAAATATACTTAGATTTTGACCCAATGTAAGTAGTCAATTAATTTTACTGTGAAAAATATGTATTTAGACTATGTTTTTAATATCCTATTAATAATTTTAATAGGGTAGTAATAATTTTTTAAATAGTCAATTACGGAGTAAATAGTTAGTATATTTGATGTCTGATTCTGAAAGTCCCAAAACCTGCATTCTTCCAACTATAATTGGTTTTTGTGATTCAATTTAAGAGTGACACTTCATGTACATTTTAAATTTGGTAAACTTTAAACATCAATACTAATTTGGAAAACTTTCAGTACTAACACAAAAAGTTCAAATCACCCATTTTACATGAGGTTCTGTCCGGTCATCCCCATTTGAGGCGGTTCACGGTGACATTTTTTGATGAAATTTTTTGAGCATCTTTTTCATTAATTCTAGTTTACCCATACCAAATTTCAGCTAAAAAATCAATTGTGAAGGAAGTCAAATAAATGTTTGAAGATAACTGCGCAATATATTTCAGAAAATCTTTTGACTCCCTTCCCGGTTGAATTTTTACCTGAAATTTGATATTGGTAAACTAGACTTAAAAAAAGAGATGTTCAAAAAAATTCATCAAAAAATTCCATCGATAACCGCCCAAATGGAGACGGCCAAACAAAGTCTCCTATAAACGGGGTGATTTGCACTTTTTCGATTAGTTCGAGGACTTATTTGCATCTTTTCCCCTAATTTAAGTACTCTGTATTAATTTTAGTTTTATCCACAATAAATTTTAAGTAAACTTGCATATTTTAGTGCAATATTTGGGGGGGTTTGAGGGGTTGGGAAGAGGCATATTTGACTGACATTATCGTTATGATTATATATATCTGGTGTGAATGATATGTAGCCAGAAGCTGCTGCTGAACATGCTGGACAACCACTGTATTCACTGTAACGACCAGATTGCCGGCACCGACGGCGGCGGCCGTGAACTCCCTAAATCCTCATATGATTTCGTTTATCTACCTATTGATTTCATGTGCGTTTTCTCCTTCAATTGTTCTTTTTGCCCTAATGTTTTTTTTATGAAGAAATCGTTATTAATGATATACTAGTCCGTCCCACTTTTTTTATTAACCATAAAATTTACTCGTGTTGTTATTAATAAGATTATTTTTAATAAATAATATTTACGTATTCAGAAACTAAATGAAAAGTTTTATAATACTCGATCAAAAAAATTAAATTCGATAAAAGTTAGATATATAAAACACTCCCTCCGTCCCTAAATAAAAGCATCTATTTTCTTTTCAGACTGTCCCTAAATAAAAGTTCCCTTTCCTTTTTTTGGCAAACAAAACAATGCCATACAGTGCTAAACAGTGTCCAAAAACTACCAACCAAACCCACTTTCTTAAAATATGTGGAAAACGAATGTATATTTTTATATAGGGACGGAGGGAATATAATATTAAGAATAATTCATGTTGATCAGAGAATAGTGAACGATAACTTTTAAATGGAACAGAGGGAGTATTTGTTATTTTGTTGGCAAACTAAAATTATATAGGCGTGACTAGAAAATTCATAAATTTACTACTCCGTCTCACTCAATTTTACCAACTTTCCATTTTTGTTTGTCTAAAAAAACTTTGACTCTTTCATTTTAAAACAATGAATTTGAGGTTAATTCTATGTGTTTCTTTCTCTTATGCACAAACTTGGATCACAAAACTTTTGTTTTTTTATTTCTCATCTACTTTGAAGTTGGTAAAGTCCATCGGTACAAAGTTGATACGAGTAATACTTTACAATCACATACACTCCCATTATCATGTTTTTTAATTTACAAATTTGACCGTCAATACTTTATAGGAGTATTTAATTCTCAATTAGTAAAAAATTAAAGATTAAAAAAATCGATTTTTTTTTTAAATTGTAACATTTTTTTTAAATTGCTTATACGTTAATACTATGTATATTGTATATAGTCAAATTAGATTATATAATCAAATTAGATTATATGAATAATGTAAAATTGAATATGTTAGGATTAAAGATAAACGAATATGACAAAAGTTTTAGAGTATAACTACTCGTGTCCCAAAATAAGTAGTACGGATTTCTTCTTTCCCTTCTCATCATCTTTCTAAAATCTAACCACATTTCCCTCTCTTTCATACGGAGTATTACTTGTTAGAAATTGTTTCAAATTGGCTTCAAATAAATATATGCAAAATGTACCAATAGGATCAACTATATTTCTTTATCAAAATAAAGCTTACTACGTATTTCATTCTATTAAAGGTACAAACTTTTTCATGATAAAGTTTTAATAAAAACAATGATAATCATGAACACTTTCTCTATATACAGTATTTTAGTTGGATTTTGTCTATTTAGTAGTCCGTACTAAGAAACTTGACCTATCTAGCAAAAAACTCCTTACATTCAATGCTACAACAACAACGTCTAAGCCTTATTTCCAAAAGATTTTGAGATCGACTAACATGAAATGATTCACGATCGAATATACTTAACTATTTCAAGAATCGGCATATTTAGTTTTTAGTCTGATAATTTATGAATCGACCATGAATGAAGAACAGTAACAAGTGCAACGTTGGATATGGGTTCGTGAACATGACCTCCCCGCAGGCCACATGGAGGCTCTACAAAGCATTTCATCTCCAATCCTGGGAAGTCTTTAACTCCAGAAAAGTCTGCCAAGTCTCTTATGCCCGATTACAAGTATGCACCGCACATATATTTAAATTACTGTCATCTTAAAATCACATTGTCATATTTTGATGTCATTAGGTTTGTTCGGGTAATGGCGTTTTACGCATAAACGCTGTTTATTTTATGCATCAAGCGCTTCAATATACGGCGTTTTAGACTTTGGTCGGTGAAACGCCATTAACCAAACACGGGCATTTGGTTTACGATTTCCGTTTTTTACAATGATTGAAGGGGTTGGAAGCACTGAAAGAGCATTTCAAGAACTCGAAGTTCCCGCGGGACGCGGAGGAGTACATGCCTGTGGTGTTCTCTCCCCCGCGAGACGGGAAGACGTTGAGCGACCCGGTCCCGATAGTTGACTGCCCAGTTCTCACCAGTAGTTCCCAAAACCACAATGGGAGTATGGATGACCATGATCGCTGCAGTGGAGATGGGTGAATGACCAAAGAAGAACTGAAATGCTACTACACTAGAGGGGTTGGGGAGGGGGGTTGGGTTGGGTGGCACACTAAGGTAGCTGCTACTTTCTTGATTCTTCTGTTAATAGAAAATATATATGTCCAGTCCTAGTCAGCATCCATCACACCAGGTAGTAGCAACCAATGCCACCACCCACCCAGTGGTGGTGAGGCTCTCACCACAGACCTGAGACTTGACTCAGTGTACTACTAACGTACTACTGATGGCTGCCAGGCAATTCACTTTGTCAGTCTACTTATTAGTGGCCTGCATTTGCTGCCTCTTTTCATTTTTATATCAGCACCAGGAATGTTTACCTTAACTATTGTGTGCTCTAGGTTTGGTTAGGTTACGATTTGGGCAAAATTCAAAAGAATAAGTCTTAGTTTCAGCAATTCATCAACAATACTAATTCATAGTGAGTATTTTTTAAAATAAACCAAATTATCAGTGTCCATGGAAATGAATCTGGGTGAACTCAAATGAATCTGCGCTTAATATTTCCAGCTCTCGAGAAATATATGTATCTTCTAACTTATATGTATCTTCTAACTTAAAGAGAATCACATTGACAGAAATGATGAGGTGATTAAATGAGCATTAATTTGATTTCTCTTTGAGAGAAAGCCGGAAAGAGTAAGGAAGAGAAAAGCAAGAATATCCCAAATTATATGGTGCAACCGGCGCACCATGAGGATGGTGCGCCCGGTTGCAAAAACGACGCAGCTTTATCTTTTTTTTTTTTTGCTTTTGATGTTAAAAAAGATAATAACTTTTTTATTTTTGATCCGATTTTTATAAAATTTATATCAACATTTTTTATTTTTCATGATCTTTCAAATGAGACCAATATTGTGTATGTAATTTTAAGAAATTATCGAACTATTATATTAATGAGTATTGGATTATAAGAAAAATCGAATCTGTTTGGGAGATGATAGGTTTGTGAAATAGAAGATCGAATCTGTTTGGGAGTGGATCAGTGGCCTCAGTTACATTTGATAATACATTGAGTTACATCTTTTTATGAGCGAGTTACATCTTTTTATAAGCAAGTTACATCTTTTTATAAGCGAGTTACATCTTTTTATAAGCAAGTTACATCTTTTTATAAGCGAGTTACATATATATATATACACACGAGTTGCATTTGACATGTCTGAACGCGACTTACATATATTTACACGTAAAGTTACATATTTTTACACGTAAAGTTGCATATTTATACACGCGAGTTACATATTTATACACACGAGTTGCATGTGACCTGTCTCAATGCGAGTTACATATTTTTTTACGTAAAGTTACATATTCTTACACATAGAGATACATATTTATAGACACGAGTTGCATTTGACTTGACTGAACGTGAGTTACATATTTTAACACTTAAAGTTACATATTTTACACACAAATGTTAATATGTCAAAATTACATAGGCAATATTGGTCTCATTTGAAAGATCATGAAAAATAAAAAATGTTGATATAAATTTTATAAAAATCGGATCAAAAATAAAAAAGTTATAACCATTTTTTAAAAACAAAAGAAAAAAAAAATATAACCGTCCCGGTATACGGTGCTCACCGTATACCGGTTGCACGGTATAGGCACTCCAAGAATATGGGTTGACGGTATTGGATGGTTTGACTTCACTTCAATTTATTCCGGAGGACAAGTTGGTAGTTCAAATTATTTTTATGAATAATTTCAATAGAGTGTTATTATTGCGGTGGACTCGGGCTGGGCCAACCGGCCCGCTACTGTGCGGGCCCGGACTGGCCCGGTGAACCGGTTGGTTGGCCGGTTCGGGCCACCCGGCCCGGTGGGATGTCGGTTCGGGCTCGGGCTCTTGAAAAGGTGAACCGGCCCAGCCGGTTCAGGCCCAGGCCGGGCCAATTTTTTTTTTTAATTTTTTTTTAAGTTTTTGGGTTGGGCTGGGTATTTTGGTCCATTTGAGGTGGTTAGGGTTGGTTTCGGAGTGAGGGGGACGGTTGGGGGTTAACTAGGAAAAGCCAAAAAAAAAAATGGAACTGAGACCTGGCCCGGCCCGGACCCGGGGGTTACCCGGGCCGGTTCCGGGCCTCCCCTTCATGAACCGAGGCCTGGCCGGGCCCAGACTTGAACTGGGCCCGAACCGAAACCGGTCCATCCCTAGCTGGGGGCACGTGTCCCCGCTTCGGGCCTGAAAATTCACTAGTAGACTTGAGGTAAAAACCATTGATCCGTCAGTGCCTCCGCTCACAAATCTCTTGATCCGTCATTGCTATTCACCCCTATTTTGAACGGTAACAGTAGGAGATTATACTATGCTCTTATAAAAAACTGTTTCATGTGAAAAGTGCAATTTTTTTACGTTTATGTCATTAAATTAAATTGCACTTTGAGAGAGGCTCATAATTGTGTTGAAACATTTAGTACAGGTAATACTATCGTGACTGGTCGGTCAACGTCTTCCCGTTTTTATTAGTGCAAATTTCTTACTTTTATGTCATTAAATTGCCCAGATCATTATGATACTAAATATCATAATTGTTATTTCTATTATTAATACAACTAATAATAATAATAATAATAATAATAATAATAATAAACAATTTATTAAAAACAAGGGGTTCAACTCCTCTCCCCTTTTTTCTCTCCATTTTTCCTCCATTTCTTTTTACTTCCTATCTATCTCTACCTTTTTCTCTATCTTACTCACCAATCTAGCCACCTTAAATTTTCTCCTCTCTATATCTTTCCCAATGGAACTCTCCGGTTAGTGGAAAGGATCCAAATTCAAAAATGAGGTTCCTAACTAGAACCGCTAGTTCCTGTTCCGATTTTTGGGATACACCCACTAGATTAGTATACCTTCGGCTCCAAATCAGAAGTAGAACTGCACAAACACGGGTTCGGGCCGGGCTCGGGCCGGACTTATTCTAAAAAATCTGCCCACTTGTAGTGGGCGGGCCCGGTCCGGCCCGGTAAAACGGGCCTCCTCATATGTCCAAGCCCGCCCATGAGAGCGGGCCGGGCTGCCCACCGGGCTTTTGGGCCCGGAAAATATCCTTTTGTCAACTTTGTTAAAAAATGAAAATATTTATAAAATAACATCACAACATTTTAAATGCAATTAAATAATTAATGTACTCACAACACATTTTGAACACAAGAATACGTTTAAATGCGAAACACAAAACGATTCTGGAAAATAAAAAACATCCAAATTCCAAATAAGCATTCATATACCATAATTAAAAGCACAATCACAGATTCACAATGTGCAACGAAAATAGTCAAGAGTATCTCCAAAAAGACATGGTAATGAAATTATACTTCCAACTATTTTATGTTTTATACGTATAGTCATATAATGTATAATTATATATAGAATAATATATATAATATAATATGTTTACGGGCTGGGCTTTTAGTCCCGACCGGGCCTATATTACAACCCAAGCCCGCCCATATTTTAAACGGGCCGGGCCGGGCCCGGGCCGGTGGGCTAAAGCATGTGTCCAAACCCGCCCATTTATATGGGCGGGCCGGGCGGGCCGGCCCGGAATTGTGCAGGTCTAATCAGAAGTACTTTACGATTCCGGTTTCGATTGGAGTTCATAAACAGGCAAATTGGGTTCAAAATTCAGTTTAGGGTATGTGACACAACTAGCTGAAAAAATATTTTTGTGAGCTTTTTAATAATTATTAGCTTTTAGTGACTGAAAAGATCTTAAAGAGAAAATATGGTAGCTGTTTGGTAAAAAGCTGACTGTATAATTTAGTTCGATTTGGTATCATGAGCTTTTATCATATGTTACTCCTTGTAGCATCTCAAAAAAGATCTTTTTTTGTGTGAGAAGTTCTTAAAAATTGTCATGTCAAACATATAACTAGAAGCTTTTAGAGACTTTTTGAACGGTACAAAAGTTAGAAGGTAGAGAGACTTATGCTTGCCAAACATAGTCTTAATCGAAATTCGGAAAAGCTCTAACTGTTGGTTATCGAAAAAATTGGTCACCGGTGGAAGGTGAAATTATTACTGACGTGGTGGTCACTGTGACCGAAGATGGTCATTGGAGCACGAGTTGTATTTTTGTAAATTAATTTTATAACTATTTGAATAATATTTTTGAAAAAGCCTCATCAAAATATTGGGATCTTTTCTAAAAGGGATAAGGGTCAGATAGGGCATCAAACTTGGCCATATTTAGGATGCTCTGTCTGGCCAACGTCATTTCGTGCTGTTCTCGGTGGAATTTTTTGATGATTTTTTTTGAGAATCTTATTCAATTCATTAAGTCTAGTTTACTCATATCAAATTTGAACTAAAACTGCGCAGTTATCTTCAAGAATTAATTTGTATGCCTTCCAGATTGAAGTTTTAGTTCAAATTTGATATGAGTAAACTAGACTTAATGAACACGATTCTCAAAAAAATTCATAAAAAAATTCCACCGGGAATCACCCCAAATGGTGTCGGCCGGACAGAGAATCCTAAATATGGCCTTATTTGATATTTTTTCCCCAAGTTTGAAGCCCTATCTGACCCTTATCCATTTCTAAAACTTATCCCTCCGTCCTTTATAACTTTTTCAAAATTGACTGACACATGGAATGATAAATTAAATATCATGTGGTTGATGTTTATACACAGAAAAAGAATGATCAAGAAACAATTTTTTTTTGCTAAAAAGGAAAGTAACATGGTTAGTGGGGCAACCAAACAAAGAAAATTGACAAAGTTATAAAAGATGTAGATATTAAATTGCCTCATTATCTATATTGCAATTTCCCTATTTTATGAGGGCGTGTTGTCACGGACTTGTTCCCTCAACAAGCTCACGTGCGGCCTTAGCTCCTTTCTGCCCCTCGCAGTAGCTAAGTCACGGACAGTGTGCTTCTTATTTCAAGCAATGTGCATCATATCAGCCCCTGGATTAATGGTTTGGTTAGTAACAAATTCAAATAAAATGAATACATAGTACGTATATGACTGCGGCTAGTAGTAGTAGTACTGTAGTATTCCTTGACAACTTATGTCCCATACAAAACCTTCTCACTTCTAAGTTCTGCCAATGAAATTGTTTTGTTTAAGGACCTTGTCCCAAAATATAAGCCAGCATGTCTTTCTAATTTTTCATTACGTTTGAAAAGTTGTCCAGTATCAATTCTGCGATAAGATGAATTGAGGGATTTACATACACAGTGTCGCAATTGGGGATGGATCCGAGCCGGGTCAACCGGCCCGAAGCGGGAGGGTTTTGGGCCAGATCACGGGTAAGGGTTTTTTTTGTACCGGCCGAGCCGGGCCTGGTCCGGGCCGATTTTTTTTTTCAAATTCTTTGAGAGGTAAATGGGTTGAGCTGAGTGTTTTGGAGGGGTTTGGTGCGTGCGGGAGGGGGGGTAGGGGGTAGGA